TCACTTCCCCCCCCTTTTCCTAACTATGTCCAGGTTGTTTGAACGTGGGCCACCTTTCAGGACAAGAAGGGCAAGATCTCTCCAAGCTAGGGGCCGGATTCTCAAACGCGTTAAGGCGCCGTATCTCCTTAGGGCGCCTTAACTTACGGCCAGCGATCTTACGGCCCTTGCACAGAGCAAGGGACCCGCCATATTGGTGCGAGTTAAGGCGCCCTCGGTTAAGGCAGGGGGAGAGCAGCCTTAGCGAGTTACGGCGAAGCATAAATGACATTTTTCAGCCCTAGAACAGTTAATACAACATTACAATTTGTATTTTACTCAGTTACGGTGTCATTAGGTGTACATAAACTGTGGAATCCTAGATAAGGCAACAAGTGTAGTATTCCAACATTACTATGATTTGCTTTACCCGATAGATGCAACCACACACCGTTTTTTTTTTTTTTTTTTTGGGTGAATAGAATAATTTTATAATAGCTTTCGTCGTGTTCCGAGCGAATCTAGCGTTCATTTCCTTCGCAAACGAAGTATAACTACGATATCGGTCCCGATACCTTGGGAGGGCATGATATATATCAGTTAATTTGAGGGGTAATTTCGAGAAACATCATTTGAATACTAGCAAGCATAGTATATTGACACATTTCTTTTGCCACGTGATGACCCATTCCATATCTGTTTGGTTCTACTGAGTGTCTATGTTCACATCACGGTCACGGTCGAATCTAATTGGCTCACATGATTTCCCTTGCCTACGTCATCCGCTATAAATCCGTCTGATTTTCCGTCACTCTTAACGACTTTTTGTCATTTGTCGCGGCGTTGGAAGCGTAAGCTTACTGCGGCTCCTGGAAATTGTGCATTTTATACCCTCTGTAACACCGTTATTGTCAATTTGCGCAGAAAATGGTATAGAGGCAAATTCTTAGAATGATGTGTTGTACCGCTGGGTAAGCTGAGATTCTTTAAATTAGGTGTGGGGTTGCATTTTCAATAATACCAGTTTTGTTGAAAAGTTCTATCATGCCACGGGCTGGACACAGCGTTGTGTTTACGAAATCAGCTGATTGGCATTTACGGTTTATGATTGGTGAAGATTCCCTAAGAGCCGCCTGAAACGGCAGTTGTGATTGGCCACCGAAGGTCCGACGCCTTAAGTGAGTTGCGGCGCTGCGGGGCTTAAGGGAGGGATAAGGCGTCTTAAAAAACGTTTGTGCATACGAAGCTAAATCCGAGATACGGAGCCTTTGACGGGCCTTAACTTAGGTCGCCGCAGGACGGTTAAAGCCTCCAGCGCGCCTTAACTTACGGCTCTTTTGAGAATCCGGCCCCAGGTTGTTGGGAGTACACAATCCCGATTCGTTGCTTCAAAGGTTTGAATTACAGAAAGTTCGCTAATTATGTTGCGATCTATGAAAAGCACAAACAAATTGATTTTCACATCGTTACAATGTTTTAAAGATTTAGTTTTGTAAAATGTTGAAAGTATTAGTGAACTGACAATGGAGAATGAGTCGACTGTTGAAAGCAAGTCAAGATTGCCATGTGTTGAACGATTGATGAAAGGTTTTGGGTGAATGTTGCACGGAAAACAAAGGTTGCCATTCATCGAGTGTAAATTGTTTATTTGATTCGAAAGAGTTGAAACCAAAATTAGTTATTCAATTACAATTGAGAAAAGGTGTAGACGATGCAGGTAGATATAAAATAGTTACCCCTTTGTTGGAAATCAAGACCACAGAAAATTAATTTGTGTTTTCATTTTCCTTAATGAATACCGTGTATGTACTTGAATTTGAATTTTAACCTCAAGTAATCTCCAAGCTTGCATTCAGTGGTCGAAACGAGAAGATTTTTTTTTTTTTAATATCCAGGTGCTTTTATCATGTAAAAATAAAAAAAATAATAAAAAAATAAAAAATGAATAAAAAAAACAACGAAATAAAAATATTGCATCGTAGAGCATAACATTTTTAGGGGAGACTAATAATTTCAAATATTATTTTATCCTCATTTTCATTATTATCATCATCATTCTTATTATTGTTATCATCATCATTATCATCATCATTATCATCATCATTATTATCATCATCATTATCATCAATATTATCATCATTGTTACATCTGTTATCATAATTAATGTTATTTTTATTATTACTGTTATGATTATTATTGTTATTATCATTATTATTATTATTATTATTGTTGTTGTTAATATTATTATTACTATCATTGTTACTCTTATGATAATTATCATTATCATAATTATTATGATTATCATCATTATCATTTGATATCATTATTAGCGTTGTTATTATTGTTATCATTACTATTATTATCTTTATTAGTATTAGTACTAGTGATATCATTATCATTATTATTATCATCATTATTATCATTCATACTACTACTACATCTGCTACTTGATTATGAACTACCGTTAACATTATGCACACACACACACACACACACACACACACACACACACACACATACA